CCATTTCTTGGCTATTGTAAATAGTGCTGCGATAAACATACGGGTGCATCTGTCTTTTTCAAACTGGGGTCCTGCATTCTTAGGGTAAATTCCTAGGAGTGGAATTCCTGGGTCAAATAGTATTCCTATTTTGAGTTTTTTGAGGAAACTCCATACTGCTTTCCACAATGGTTGAACTAGTTTACATTCCCACCAGTAGTGTAGGAGGGTTCCCCTTTCTCGGCATCCTTGCCAGAATTTTTGTTCCTTGTCTTTTCTATGGTGGCCATCCTTACTGGTGTGAGGTGATATCTCATTGTGGTTTTAATTTGCATTTCCCTGATAATTAGCAATGTGGAGCAGCTTTTCATGTGCCTATTGGTCATCTGAATTTCTTCTTTGGAGAAGTGTCTGTTCATATCCTCTGTGCATTTTTTAATTGGGTTATTTGCTTTTTGGGTGTTGAGGTGTGTGAGTTCTTTATATATTTTGGATGTTAACCCCTTGTCGGATATGTCATTTACGAATATATTCTCCCATAAGATGCCTTTTTGTTCTGCTGATGGTGTCCTGTACAGAAGCTTTTTAGCATGACGTAGTCCCATTTGTTCATTTTTTTATTTTGTTTCCCTTGTCTGAGGAGATGCATTCAGGAAAAACTTGCTCATGTTTATATTCAAGAGATTTTTGCCTATGTTCTCTTCTTAGAATTTTATGGTTTCATAACTTACATTCAGGTCTTTGAACATTTGGAGTTTACTTTTGTGTATAGGGCTAGACAATAATCCAGTTTCATTCTCTTGCATGTAGCTATACAGTTTTACCAACACCAGCTGTTGAAGAGGCTGTCATTTCCCCATTGTATGTCTATGGCTCCTTTATCATATATTAATTGACCATATATGGTTGGGTTTATATCAGAGCTCTCTAGTCTGTTCCATTGGTCTGTGGGTCGTTCTTGTACCAGTACCAAATTGTCTTGATTACTGTAGCTTTGTAGTAGAGTCTGTAGTTGGGGAGCTAGTCCACCCCGCTTTATTGCTCCTTCTCAGGATTGCTTTGGTTATTCAGGGTCTTTTGTAGTTCCATATGAATTTTAGAACTATTTGCTCTAGTTCCTTGAAGAATGCTGTCTGTGTTTTGATAGGGATTGCATTGAATCTGTAGATTGCTTTAGGCAGGATGGCCATTCTGACAATATTAATTCTTCCTATCCATGAGCATGGGATGGTGTTTCCATTTATTGGTATCTTCTTTAATTTCTCTCATGAGTGTCTTGTCGTTTTCAGGATATAGGTCTTTCACTTCCTTGGTTAGGTTTATTCCTAGGTATTTTATTCTTTTTGATGCAATTGTGAATGGAATTGTTTTCCTGATTTCTCTTTCTGTTTGTTCATCATTAGTGTATACTAATGCAACAGTTTTCTGTGTATTAATTTTGTATCCTGCAACTTTGCTGAATTCAGATATTAGATCTAGTAGTTTTGGAGTGGATTCTTTAGGGTTTGTTATGTACAATATCATGTCATCTGCAAACAGGGACAGTTTAACTTCTTCCTTGCCAATCTGGATGCCTTCTATTTCTTTGTGTTGTCTGATTGCCATCGTGAGGACATCCAGAACTATGTTGTAAAAGTGGGGAGAGTGGGCATCCTTGTCTTGCTCCTGATCTTAAAGGAAAAGCTTTCAGCTCTCTGCTGTTAACTATAATGTTGGCTGTGGGTTTGTCATGTAGCCTTATTATGTGGAGATACTTGCCCTCTATACCCGTTTTGTTGAGAGTTTTTATGATGAATGGATGTTGAATTTTGTCAAATGCTTTTTCAGCATCTGTGGAAATGATCATGTGGTTTCTGTCCTTCGTTTTGTTGATGTGGTGGATGATGATGATGGGTTTTTGAATGTTGTACCATCCTTGCATCCTGGAATAAATTCTACTTGATCATGATGAATGATCTTTTTGATGTATTTTTTAATTCAGTTGCTAATATTTTGTTGAGTATTTTTGTATCTATGTTCATCAGGGATATTTGTCTGTAATTTTCATTTTTTTGTGGTATTTTTGCCTGGTTTTGTTATTAGAGTGATGCTGGCCTCGTAGAATGAGTTTGGGAGTATTCCCTCCTCTTCTACTTTTTGGAAAACTAAGGAGGATGGGTATTAGGTCTTCACTAAATGTTTGATAAAAATTCAGCAGTGAAACTGTCTGGTCCAGGGTTTTGTTCTTAGGTAGTTTTGATTACCAATTCAATTTCCTTGAGCTTCATCCCTTTTCATGTAGACAATATTTTTATCCAACTCCATTTATTGAATAGTCATTCCCTTCCCCACTAGTCTTTAATGGCACCTCTGACGTACAGCAAAGTTTCATACCATCCCGTTCTGGGCCATCAGTTAGTGGCTGGTCCCTGGGCCAGGATGGCACTGCTGCTCTCATTACCATAGCTGCAGAATAGGCTTGTCATCTCTAGGACAAGTTGCTCCTTGATGATCTTTGACAAGCATCCTGCCTCCTGTTCATAGTAAAAAAGAAACCAAAAACAACCCAAATGCCCATCAAGAGAAGAATGGATGGATAAGCTATAGTTTATTCCCATAATGGAATAGGATTCAGCAGTCACAGCAAATGACTTACAGCTGCATATAACAATATACTTGAATCTTAACCATGTATTAAGTGAAAAAAGTAGATTTCCAAAAGATTACATACATCATGAGAATCTTTTAATAAAGTTAAATGCAACTGAAATAAAAATGTATTTTCTTGGAATCCATAAAGATGAAATAATATAATATTTTTTAAAAAGCAGGTGACTGAGAACACAGGATTCAGGATGAAGAGTTCCTTCAGGTGGGGGAAGGCAGATGTGTCTATCAGGGATGGGTTTATGGGGCTTGTTCCATGAGTACAAATAGCTAATTGAATAAAAGACATGCTTGAATAATGAGGATGTTTCATCCAATTCTGAGGCTAAAAAGGTGAAATAAGATAAAACCTATAGAGATAGACTTTGAGAATGTATGTTGAGTTCTAAGTGTACCAAGACTGATGATTTCTGTTACTGCCCTTCAGTGTAATCTAAAAAGCTGTGCAGAAACTGCCTGACATAGATATGGTAAAGACTAGCAGGCTAGTGTGACCAAAAAAAATACATACACATGCATGCCCATGCACACGCACATATACACACACACACACATTTTCTGCCCAGCTTCCTTTTGGTACCACTTCCTCCTCCAACAGCCCAAATTTGTCTTCATCCCCACTGGGGAGCAGCTGGGAGTTTAGGAGGAGTGGAACACCCCCTGATCCTATGGCTGGCTCTGACTGATCAGGATAGTCCCACTTCCTTAACCCAGTTGTCACTTACGGGTTAAGGAATGGATACCTGCTGTAAACTGGCCTGAATGGAGTGAAGTTAAGTACCCCCATTTGATGGCTAGAGGAACAAGGCATTCTGCCCCAGACTTGAACCTGGAGGTATGCAGCCCAGGCTGGTGCTTCTGGCCATACTGAGAACAGAGATGACCCTTCAGAAGCCTGGGCTGAGGGGGATCCCCAGGAACAGAACCTGGCCCCGATCGAACCACATGTGAAGCCTGAATCTCCTCAGGGATTTTCAGTTTTGTGAGCAATAAAGTCCTTTAATAAGCCAATCTGAAGTGGGTTTTGAGTCCTTGGGCAGGAAAACAGCCTAACACCAGTCTGCTCTCTAGGTGGCTTTTAGGCACTTCAGAGGGATTCAGAAATGAAAAGAAATGCAGAGGAACTGAACGCCTTTGTACCTGGTAAATCTGAGAAAAAAAGGTGGTGAATACCATAAAAATACAAAACATGGTGCTGTGTGGCTGAGGGATGGGAATAGAGAGGGCCTCTGGGGGAAGTGGCACTTAAGGTGGGCTCTGGAAAATGAGGAGGCACAGGCCATGTGTGTCTGGAAGGGGCTAGATGCAGGCAGGATTCCAAAAAGCAAAATGGCAGGACCGAAGTGCAGAGAACAGCTAGTCAGGATGAGTTCCAGGCCTTGAGTTTTATTCAGTGCTTACTGTATACCAGGCACTTCTATGGATTATCTCTGTAAGCCTCACAAGGTAAATACTGTTATCACTGATATTTTTTTATGTAGAAACCTGGGGCACAAAGAAGTTAAGTGATTCTCCCAAGTTCAAATAGCTAGTTAATGCAGAAGCCAGTCAGTCTGAGTCCCACACCTAACCATTAGACTATACTGCCTTCCCAGTGTTTCAGTGAACATCAACTTGTCTCCACACAAAGTCAGTGTTGAATGACTTCACTTAGTTACCCAGTGGCACAGTTTTACAAACCCCAGGTAATGGCCCTTTCCTCAAGAAATCCCAGCTGAATTTGCATAAGGCAGACAGATAAATAGGAAAATGTCACCCACATGCAGTAAATAAATACATGTAGCTATGCATAGTCTTCATACTATGCCTTTCTCTGCAAGGTCTCAGAGCCGGTGGACACACCCTGCCTTACCATTTATCCTGATAACAGCCCATGGAAGATTATTGAGGACATTTGTCCTTGCTTTGCGAGGCCCCAGGCCCTCAGCTCTTCCAATCATGTTGGACTGCCCTCCCAGGTGTTCCCTGCGCTGGCAGGTCCTGAGGAAGACCAGGCAGGACTCCTGGGGACATGAGCAGATTTCTTCCCTGTGGAGAAGCTGCCAAGCCTTTGCATCTCTCCCTCAGCTCACCCAGGCTGCCTCTGAGCTGTTCAGAGAGCCTCCACGCCGGCCGTCTTCAGGGCTGACAGGCAGCTACTGGCTGGAGCACATGGCACACTGCCCTGAGCAGAATCACGGCTCCACCATGGGATGAAAGACAAGGAGATGTTCTCCTACCTTATTATCAGGTCTCTCTTGGCTAAGAGAGAAAAATCAAGCAATCTCTAGTTTTCCCATGAAGGAAGTGAGTTGCAGAGAAGGGACAAAAAGGGCTGCGTGTACAAATATTAAGCACATTCCAAGCAGACAGTAAGGCACCCCTCCTCAACTTACCCCTCTGTAAATATACGGGCCAGTGGTCTTTAAACCTGAGCGCCATCCAGACAAGTTGTGAACACAGACTTCTGGGCTCCATCCCCAGAGTTTTCCATTCTGTAGGTCCAGGATGAGGCTTGAGAATTTGCATTTTGAACAAGGTCCCAGGTGATGCTGTGGCTGTCAGGTGGCTGGGGACCACACTTAGAGAACATGCTGCAGACCGGGCACTGTAGTTGTGACAAATCCTTTGATCTCTTTACCTTGGAGCATTCTAAAAGGAGGCATTTGAAAATTTGGAGTTAGACTTTGTTATCTCTACAGTGTCTTCACAAATCAGGTTCTACCATTCGTGAAGACACTGTAGAGTTGCAATTTACTGAGAGATTTGTATCCCAAAATAAGCCAGTTGTGTATACCACAGAAAGCATTTTCCTATCCAAGTAATTGGGAGGAGGCATCATTAAGTCGCCACTTGTTTGCATTTGCCCAGGAGAGAGACCTCCTTTCAGGAAGTGTATCCTGAATTGGGCTCAAAGGGCAGTGAGAGACTGAGTCAAGGCCTCCTCCACCTTGTTCATTTGTTTTTCCTAAAGTCTGAGTCAGATATCAAGGGCTGCCCACATACATGCCCAGGGTAGGGACAAATGCCAACAATGAGTCTTTAAGGCCAGAGCAAGGAGCTACTGTACCCTGAGATCCTGGCTAATTGATGACAGATCCAGGTTCAAAACCTGCACCTTCTAATTTAGGGTCTGGAAGGAGTCTGTTTATGTGAGCTGTGTTGTCGTTATTGTTGTTTTAATTAAATTGCAGACTTTCCTGGCACACCAGTTCTAGTAGTCTTGGGACTTCTAATCTCATGCATTAAGCTAACCAAAGTTGATCCTTGCCAACCAGGAAATGGTTTGACCTGATCCTCCTGCTAAGGAGGAAATTAGCATCTGGTGTAGAATGTAACCCTGACTCTTGTATGTTGGACATTTCATTCCTGGAAATACAAGCCAGGAGTAGCTTTATGATCATGCCAGGTGTAAGCCCTGTCTGGTCAAGTCTGACTGGGCTACTCTCTTTTTTTTTCTCTCTTTCCTGCTGGCAGGTAAGGACATTCAACTTTTTCCAACACCTCTGAGGCATGCTCTAACAGCATCTTGTCCTGATTTACTACCTAATTACAACTGTAACCATGTCTGGACCTGGAAAAATATTGGAGCTCTTTTCTTTTCACCTAACATGGGCAGTCATAGCTATGGATCTAGAGAAGACATTTTTTTTGGTTAATTAATTATTTCTGAAGTGGTACCAAGCAAAGTCAACCAAAAGGATGCAAGAATAAACCAAACAGAAAAGAGAGGAAAGTTGTTATCAAGTAAATAGAGGCTGGGGAAAACCTGGGCTTAGACGTTGATGGAACATTCTCTAGCTTGGGTCACAAGCAGATTTTCATTTGGTAATCAACAGGCCTCTTGAGCTATTCCATAACAGAGAGAGAGAGAGATTCATAATGCTTCCTGAAGAGAAGAACTCAAGCCAGAACCTATGCGCTCACACCACTACCTTTGAGCTTCAATAGTTTGAACTTGGAGATTCTAACCCAGGTAACTCCTGGGAGCCCGTGAATGAGACTAATGAAATGAATGATACCAAAATGAAGCACAGAACAGGCACAAGTGTCCAGCATCTCCTGGAGGATGCTGGAGGATGAAAAGGGGCATCTCAGTTTCACTTTTGCTCAGGAAGCCAAAAGTTTGTTGTGTTGTTATTTCAATGCCTCCTGCCTTACAGTTTGCTTTCCGTGAAAATCCCATGAGACATTGGGAAGTCACTTCTCAGACACAATCAGAGGAGTAGTCCTTAACTCTCTCCCCAGTGTGAGAAGGGCTAAGGGCTGCTGAGAAACTCGGTGTGAGGTTTTGTCAAAGTCACAGGACCATCATCACAATTCTGGACTCTTCCAAAGCTCTTTTCATATAAAGATCTCAAAGACCTACATAAACATTAATTATTCTCACAGCACTGCTTGGTGGTAGACATTAGGATTCTATTTGCCTTTCACTGAGGCTGATTGCACATCTATAATCTTCAGGTCCCACCCCATTATTAAGTTTAGAGAAAAAGTATTCTCCCCTCTCCCACAGTTTGTAGGGAAAATGAATTTGCCTGTTAACTACATAGTTCTGGGCCAAAGTGTGTAGGCTATGTAAAGAAGTTCCACGTCAAGCACAGTCCCTGTCTTCAAGGAAATTACAGTCTATTGAAGAAAGAAGATGCATGCATATAATGAATAATAATATAAACATTATTTCAAGATAGGATATGGTTAGTGTAAAATGAGACGTTTTCAGTGGAAGAGATCACCACGGATGCTAGTAACCCAGGAGAGCTTCATGGAGGAGGAAGGATTTGGACTGGACCTTGGATACTCAGTGTGTGTGTCCATGCATGTGCACATGTGCATTCTGGCAGGGCATGATAGCATGAACAAAGGGACTGAGATAGGAATACGCTGACTTGTTCATGATCAGACAGCCTGATGTTGCTAGAGTGAGGAGAACAATGAATAACATTGAAAAGCTAAGCAGGATGGAACCAAGCTGTGAAGAGCCTTTATACCAAATTCTCAAGATTTTGATTCTTAGTATATTCCAGAATAAATTAAGTAGGATTAGAAACTGGCCCATGTGACTGGTAAAAGATCATGCTTGCCATGAAATAATAAAGGAAATGAATGAGACCTTAAGTTAGTAGAAGGAAGGAAATAATAAAGATCAGAGCAAAATAAATGAAATAGAGACTCAAGACAATACAAAAGCTCAATGAAACTAAAAGCTGGTTCTTTGAAAAGATAAACAAAATTGGCAATAAGGGAAATGAATTGGCTGCAGAAAAATGAACCAGGATGGTTTAGAAGATGTGGTTTAGCCGAGTGGCGGCTCTCAAAGTGCATCTGTGGACCAGCACCAGCTGGGTATAGACATGCAATTTCTTAGGTCCCTGGGCAGACCTATTGAATCGGGTACTCCAGGCTGGGACCCAACAATGTGAGTGTCAGCCAGCATTCTGGGATACTCTGAGGCAAAGTCAAGTTTGTCAACTCCTGAGCTAGAGAAACAATCCTTTTAGCAGATAGGCTCAAATACAGCAGAATTCTCTCCATCTAATTAATGCTCTCCATATGCAAAAAATATACTTTTAAGCTGATTTTTTAATTACTTTTTTAAATCCTTTTTATTGTGTAAAAATGGAAAACTTACACAAAAGTAGGCAGAGTAGAAGCTAAGCCTTCATATCTCCATCACCCTCATTTAACAATTAGTAAGGTTTTGCTGCACTATCCCTTTCTCTCTTTTTGTGAGTTGCTTTTTTAGTTCCTAGAAATTATTTCAACTCATTCCTCCAGAGCTCAGTACGCATCTCTTAAGAATATGCATAAGTTCTTACATGACCATAATGTCAGTATCATACCTAACAGGAAGAATGGTACCTCTGTAGTTGCTCCTAATACCCAAACTATAATCAAATTTCTCTGATCATGGAAATAGAGTCCATTTAATAGACTCTGGCTATTAATAGCTGGCTGTTTTTAACCTACAACAATAAAATTTAGAACAAAAAAATTAGACATTTTTTCTTTGTAGAACATCTCCAAGAGAAGGGGATTGAGGGGCATTATGATTAGTACACATGGTGTTGGGGGGGATCATGGGGAAAACAGTGTAGCACAGAGAAGACAAGTAGTGACTCTGTGGCATCTTACTACTCTGATGGACAGTGACTGCAATGTGGTATGGGGGGGACTCGATAATATGGGTGAATGTAGCAACCACATTGTTTTTCACATGAAACCTTCATAAGAGTGTGTATCATAATACCTTAATTAAAAAATGGTATAAAATATCTCCAAGAAAAAATTTTCCTTTTAGATATATAAAGTTTGTAAGTATTTGGGTCGGAAGTTCTTTATTATCTATGGTTAGATAATATTACCTGTGAAATGAGTTTCCATTTTGGATGCTGCAACATCATACTAGTTGTCAGAAAATGTCATTAACCAGGATGAATCTTACTTGGTGTAAGTATAGCTTCCTGCCAAATGCCTCTGCCCACTCCGTAGTGTCAGCATGAAGCGCTATTGAAATGTGCGGTGTTTCTTGACACTACTTTGGAAACACCTGTGTTGTACGAGCATTAAAAATATAGTAAAATAGTCTCAGTACCTTAATACTGTTCTGTTACATATATATATATTCTTAGTTCTGTTAATTTATAGAGTCAGGAATAATTAAAATTGTACACACTTATGCAGTGCTTTCAAGCACTTTACCTTTAATTACTCATTTAATATTTTTAAAAAGCCATGAAGAAAGTGTTTAAATGATGCCAAAACAGCAGGATTAAAGACAAATTATAACATAAGAAGATAGTTGAGCACATGTTTAGGTAACGAAAAATGAAAATTTTAAGTTTAATTCTCCCAACAAGACTTTTTCCAATTTTATGTATATGGCCTCTCATTTGCAAAATGACAGAAACCTTGATATTTACAAAAGCAGTGAATTTCATTAGTATATGCTCAAGACATGCACAAGCTCTGTGTGTACTTTATACTCTTGCAACTATAATATGAGTTGGATAATGAAAGGATATACAATAAATTTGGGTCAAAATTTAACTGTAGTTTTAATTGTATTGAAATTCAATACAGACTATGGATTTCAATTGTTTTGTGTTCTTAACTATTTTGTGGAGAGAAGTATATTCCTCTTTCTTGTTCTTATCACCATTTCACAAATGTGTCATTTTATGTCATTTTATTAGGTTGATTTATGAGGTTGGAAATACTATAAACAAGCTGATAAAATGTAGAGTAGATTGTATTGAAGATAAGAACAATTCCAAAAATAGTTGTCTGCCTCTGTGTAGTTTGTTCTCCCAATAATGAAGCTCACTGCCTTTAATTATAGCTTGAGACACTGTGTTGAAATATTTAATCTCTGAGTAATGACTGGATTTTAGTTTCCTAATTGACATCTGTGTGTTTAGCATCTGTGCCAAAGCCTGAATCTGAGAATGAGCACACAAGACCTGGACTGCATGTAAAACATCTCTGATACCTTACCTTACCTCCTGGGCCATAATGTTGTAACAAGAAAAGGAAGGATAAATATCATATACCTCATGATTCCACATGTCTTTTAATCGCTAGCCAACAACCTGTTAAGGTTCACAAGTCAAACCAGAAACCCATGAATGTGATCAGTGTACACTGCAAGGTACTGCAGTCCCACAGAAGCCCTTGGCCTTGGGAACATGCTCATCCTGGATGGAGTATCAGGTAGCTGGGAGTAGCTCCCAGAAGATGATGCTCCACCCACAAGTGGGTGACTTTATTTAAAAGCTGGTGAGAACAGCTTGAAAGTACTAAATGAATAGGTTAGATAGAGAAGTTATTGCCTTGAACTCTGTCACCAAAATTTGGGGGTTTTCCTAGGAGGATCCATAGAAGTGTCACTGGGTTGTCTTCTTCTGTTGGCTTCATGTTTTTGAAACAAGATGCTACTCATCAGCTGTG